TTTTACTGGTGCTGCTCGGTCTACAGACCATTATAACCCATTTTTGAGTCTGATTCCTTTGAGAACCTCATGAATGGTGTTAAAACTACCACCACCAACAACAACAAATGAACATAGAGTCCCATACATAGACATCCACATGATGTGCATCAGTATCAGGGGGTTATGAAAAATGTCAAGGCTTTCCTTGCATCCCTTAGGAGCAAAGGATTATGGTGAAGACAACAACAAATTCTTAAGATAATCACTTTATGGAGTCAGAGTCCCAGTGTCTTTCATGGCTGTGTCATGCTGTACAGGGTACAACATCTTCTACTCCAGGTTGTGGAGCTGATGCACTAAATTATTTAAAATGGCTTTTTAAAAAAAAAATGAGCCGCATATTTTTCAGTCTACCATACACAATAGAAAGCTCCAGTAAATTAATTATATAAATGAGTTTTGCAATCAGAATATTAGTACACTATTCAGATATATTACTACATTTGAGGTAAGACAAGATATTAATTTAAAAACATTAAACTGACATTATACTAGACACTGGATTTAGTACAGTGGAGAATAATATTCTGAGAACACATAGATTTCCAATATTCTTATTGCAGGAAGAAAGCTCAAAAAGCACACAAACAATTGCATTTAATCAATTTTATATAATGTATAAGAAAAGATGTAAGAAAAGACCTTAGAAAGGAACAGAGATAATTTCCTGCATCACAGGACAAACATTGCAGGTATCTTAGAAGCAGTTTCTCCACAGTTGGGTTTTGACCTTTCAAGATGATTGAAATAATTAGAAATGGAAAGGATTTCCAGGAAGGAAGGAAGTTAACGACTCTTGATTAAACTACCGATTAAATATTTGATGAAGAACTACAATATCACTAAGTTAATAAAATCATATATATTTTTGATTCTTAATTCATAATAAAAATCTATGTCTGAATGTATAAGATAAATAAGGTTGTTTTAAATATGAATAGTCTAATGGAATTACCAATATACAGACCAAAAGCTCTACTGTCAAAGGAGTGGCCAAAATCAAGGAGTATTGTTAGTGAAAACAACTTTCTCATTATGATGCATCCAAATCCTCCAAAACCACATATCAAGTACAAATATTTCATGGTGAATCACTCTTATACATGAATAAAGAAAGGAATGAGCTTATTGTGGTGATTAAGATACCAACTCATTTCTCTTATAGTTTAATATCATTACCAAAGATGCAGAGTCCGAAGATACCCAAAGTGAGTAACTTCATCAGACATTTCCCAAAAGTATTTTTTTTATTTCAAATAAGAAAAGGTATATTTCAAGTATGTTGAAAAGAAGAAAATTTTCCACAAGTGAGGAAGAAATATATATAAGAAGAATTTTGGGTCAATTTTATTTATTATGTTCTGTGCTTTGGCCAACTTATAATTTTCTTTTTTTTTTTTTTTTTTTTTTTAAAGATGACCGGTAAGGGGATCTTAACCCTTGACTTGGTGTTGTCAGCACCACGCTCAGCCAGTGAGCGAACCGGCCATCCCTATGTGGGATCCGAACCCGGGGCCTTGGTGTTATTAGCACCGCACTCTACCGAGTGAGCCACGGGCCGGCCCGGCCAACTTATAATTTTCTTTTGTTTTTTTTTTTTTTTTTTTTT